ATATGTCTCAGTGGCAAGAGATTAAGAACCATGATTAAAAACACACAGGGCATGATGACACCACGTCAAATAGATAATGCTTCATGTAGAAGAAATAATAGTCCGATTCAACATTTATATATTTAGACACTTGGATTTGTATATCTAGTGGCTATTCTCAATCACGAATTGATTTTCCACTTGCTGAAATCCCATTCTTATCTTATTGTCCAGATCTTACTTTTCCATCAAAGAATGATTCTGGATTTCAGCAAAACCAATTTAGAAAACTTTCTGCCAAATAATAAGGCTGTTGAAGAAACCTATACTTTTGGTTTGGCATGCAGTGGTGGCACATTTTTCATGATCATATGAGACGAATACTGAGATGGAGAAACTCCAGTTTCTTTCCCTGTCCTCTAGTTACAGATGCTGTTAGGTGTCCTGAAGTTGATGCTTCCATTACACATTGCCAAGAGAGAAAGAAAATATGCCTTCATTGGCTACTGTACTTAGAATGGCTCCTAAAACTAAGCAAGAAAACCAGTGTTCTTGGCAGGCAAACAATTGAAAAGTACAGGTGCTGGGAGTGTGCACAGCCCCAAAATCAACATGACTTGGGAGGAGAGGGGGTTAGATAACAAAGAAAGGTGCTTTTCATTCAGAGAAATTTATTTCTTTTAAATATTTGCAATCTGCAGCCGATAGCACATGAGGCCACTTGGCATTATTTCCCAACAAAGGGGAGGGCCGGTGGTAATGAGCAGATGCTTGAGTGGCCTGTGGCGTGAGGTGCGCCATCCGTCAAGAAGATCAATATTTACTGTTCTTGTATCTTTGTGGTGAAAGTTTGCTCATCTTAAAAAAAAAAGGGGTGGGGGTTGTGCTTTAATATATAGAGCATGGGTTTGATTTCAGGCAGTGAATCAACTAAAAGTCACAGGGTCTTCACAGAGTGGAATCAGCACCCATCTCCCCTGTCCAACGAAGAAATGTAAGGTGTTTTAAGGAGTAAGATGCATCTGGCCCATGATGTGGGCCGTCTTTGTCTCCATTCATTCTTTTTCATTTCAGCAAATCATACCCTGATGAAAGGTACAGTTTGAATATGATACTGCATTTCAAAGTTTGTTTTAAAACAGATTAATTCCATTCAGTTAAATTCAACATATATCAATGAAGCAGCATGACTCGTAATAGGGACTGTGCTAGGCCCTGGGCTGACCAAGATGAAGAAGATGAGGCTCACTGCTTTAGCTTTTTGGTGCCTCAGTTTTCCTACTTTGTCATACTTGGGTCACAGAGAAGGCAGTCCTGTTAGATGGGGATAGGGGCAAGAGATAAATAGATGGCGAGTCGTGACCAGCTCCTATACCATAGAAAGGATTTTGTGTTTGATTCTTTAGGTCAGAGTGTGATGGGCTGGGGATTTGTTCAAATTCAGATCCTGATTCAGTAGGTTTTAGGGTGAGGCCAGAGAATCTTCATATCTAACAAGCTCCCAGGTGAGGCTGCTGATGCTGGGTCCTGAGCCACACTTGAAGAAACAAGAAATTGATCACTTGTGTCAGTCACCCAGGATAACTGCTAAAAGTGCACATCCCTGGGCTTTAGACATATGTGAATCAAAATTTGCATTTTAACATGTTTACTGGGTGATTTTTATGCATGGTGTAGTTTGAGAACCACTATTTAAATGTTGAGAAATCAATGAACACTATTAAGTAGGCCAGTGCCATATTTAGACTTGGGTTTTAGAAAGGTAATGTGAGAAAGAGAATTCCATGGAGGTGAACTGCAAGCAGGGATGTGGATGAGGACTGCAGAGGAGGGAATGGGACTGGGGAACATTGAGAGAGTGAGGTTGACAGGAAATGGCCGTGCATAGATTTGAGGGATAAGGGAGGAAGAGGAGGCCTGGATGATCTTCTAGGTTCTGGTTTGGACACTTATATTGCTGGCTGTGCTGACTCTAAAATGAGGAGGCAGTATGGAATGGGGTTAAAAACATGGGCTTAGGAGTAGGAAAGAGTGGATTTGAGACTAGCTTTCAATACTTACTACTTCTATAGCTTTGATAAGTTACTTAGTTTTTCATCCATAAAATGGGGGTGGTAGTTGTTGCAGGATAGCATTAGCCCCATTTTGCAAAGGTAGAAACAGGAACAGCGAAGGTACGTTGTCCCAGCTTGTATAAAGAGCGGGGTGTGGAGATGAGACTTGGATGTGGGCCTTCATGGTTCTACAGCCCCTGCTCTGAATTATCCCCTCCAAGATGGCCTATGCGCAGATACTGTCTAGATGGACAGTGGCTCTAAGTTAGGAAAATCGTTTTTCTCTCATTTTGCTTTCTTTCAAGTTCCCTCTTGGTATCACTGCTGTTCCTGTGGTTCTCCTCTCTCTTCAAAAGGGTAGAAATTCTCTCCTTTTCACTTATGTTAGCTCATCTGTGATGAGTTTTAAAAAAGACTTTACTAAATATCAAACAAATATAAAGAAAGAAAATGCTAGCAGCAAAAAAGTCTTATGATGTGTAGGTTTCTGACTCTTCCTTAGTTAATCTCCCATGCTCCATGAGTAGTATAACTGGACTTGGTCTCTCAAGTCCCAGCTATTTCCTGCCGTTTAAGGGATGTGTATCTTTTTAAGCTTCCACCTCTGTCTCCTGGGTCTACAGTCATGGAAAAGAGAGAGAGTTCCTACTCCAGTGCCCTCCTAGGACCCTCCCACTTAGCTTATAGTTTGTGGCTTGAGTCACAGACATTTTCCTAAGGGGATGGGTAGATTTGGGTGAGTGAGAGGCCATGTGAAATGACAAGATGAAAACCTTACCCTTTCGATAAGACACTATTGCTCATGCAGGCATGATTTGATCTTGTACAGACTTAGTAAGTTAATGCTATCCTGAACACATAGTATTCATAATATCTAAACAGTACGATCCATACATTAATATCCAATATCCAAATCTATATAAATCTAAATTGATAATATCTAATTATATCCAAACAACAAAAATTACACATCAACACTCATGAAAAGTTGGTTCTGATTGCATGTTTAATGAGTGATTTTTATTTATTTATATTAATAGTTTTTAACTTTTATTTTAGTTCAGGAGTCTATGGGCAGGTTTATTATACAGGTCAACTGTGTAACACAGGGGTTGGTGTACAGATAACTTCCTCACCAGATAATAAGCATAGTACCTCATAGCGTATTTTTTTCTGATTATTTCCCTCTTCCCCCACTCTACCCTCAAACAGGCCCTAGTGCCCCTTGTTCCCTTTCTAGTATCCATGTTTTTGGTGGTTTAGCTTCCACTTAGTGTGGTATTTGGGTGTCTGTTCCTGTGTTCATTTGCTTAAGATAATGGTCTGCAGCTTCATCCACATTGCTGCAAAGGACATGGTAACATTCTTTTTTATGGCTGCATAGTATTCCATAGTGTATGTGTACTACATTTTTTTTATCCAGTCCAACACTGATAGGCATTTGGATTGATTCCATGTCTTTGCTATTGTGAGTAGTGCTGCAATGAAGATACACTTGCTTGTGTCTTTATGTTAGAATGATTTCTTTTGTGTATATCTATCCAATAATGCGATTGCTGGATCGAATGATAATTCTGTTTTAAGTTCTTTGAGAAGTCACCACACTGCTTTCCACAATGGCTGAACTAATTTACACTCCCACCAGCAGTGTGTAAGTGTTCCCTTTTCTCTGCAGTCTTGCATCTGTTATTATTTGACTTTTTAGTAATGACCATTCTAACTGGTATAAGATAGTATTTCATTGTGGTTTTGATTTTCATTTCTCTAATGATTAGTGATGCTGCACATTTTTTCGTGTGCTTATTGGCCACATGTATGTCTCATTTTGAAAAGTTTCTGCTTGAGTCCTTTGCCCATCTTTTAATGGAGTTGTTTGTTTTTTGCTTTTAAATTTGTTTCAGCTTCTCATAGATTCTGGATATTACACCTTTGTAGGAAGCATAGTTTGCAAATATTTTCTCCTATTCTGTATGTTGACTGTTTACTTTGTTTGTAGTTTCTTTTACTGTGCAGCTTCTTTAGTTTAATTAGATTCCATTTGTCAATTTTTGGTTTTGTTGCAATTGCTTTTGGTGTTGTTCTCATGAAATCTTTGCCAAGCCCTATGTCCAGAATGGTATTGCCTAGGTTATCTTCCAAGGTTTTTATAGCTTTAGGTTTTAGAATGAGTAGTTTTTAATTTGAATCAAATCGGATCCTTATTTATGACCTTATTTCATATTATTATCCAATATCTTTGTATCTCTTCCTCCTCTTTATTTTCTGTTTTTGTTATTTCAAGCCGACAAAGCTTGATTTAAGAGCCTTCTCTTTTCCACCTTCTGACCCCCTTCCCTATCCCCTGCCTCTCTACTCTCTGACGTGTACACTGGCTCTTCCCAGTGCTTGCAATAACTCTCATCTAAGACCTCACATGGCTACTCCATCTCTACCTGTTAATCCTTGTTTTCATGTCACCCTGTCTGAGAAGGTATCTCTTATTTTTGTATATAAATCATTGCACGTCCCTAAACGTTTTTCCAATCCCTAAACATTTTCCATTCCCTTTAACTTCATCATGTTTTTCATCTTAGCAATAGAAAAATTACCATCCAATCTATTATATATTTGTTTATTTTTTGTCACCCTCCACTAATATGTCAATTTCCTGAGGGCAGAGACTTCACTCTTGTATCCCCAGTGTCTAGAGTAATAACTAGCATATAGTGTAACTGAATAAGATTTTTTTCAGTGAACAAAATATTAAGTTAATTGGCCACTTTAATGAATACACGACAGGAATGTACATGTAAAGGAACTAGAGTCAACTGTGATTGTTTTCAGGATCGTTTCATTTAAAGAATAAAGAAGCAAAAATGTTTTTAAAATATCACTCACTTTAGGGAAGTAAGAGTATTAGGTGGCATGAATTATTTTGGAGCCATCGACCTAATTTTATTTTATGTATTTTCCTCCTCTGTCTTACAGCGCATCCCTCGTTATGAAAGAACTGCAGTGCCCTGCTCCAGATTCATTAATCATATGAAGAATTTCTCTGAATCTCTTAAATTTCGTAGTCTACAGTTTCTAAATTCTCCTGATAAATTAAGACATAATCCCAAGAAAGACCATAGCTTCCAGAGAAACTCTGGAAGATGTACAGGTAATAATCATAAAGATTTTATTGAAAAACGCTTGTGCTATGTTTCAAAATGGCAACAAAAGAGGGAATTCATTGGCTCATGAAGTTAACAAATCCAAGGGTGGACTGGCTTCGGGTATGGCTGGATCCAGTGTTCACCAATAATATCATGATTTATTTCATTTTATTAATTTCCCGGTTGTCTTCACTAAGTTGGGTTTATTTTCAGAAAGGATAGCAATAACATGCCCCCGCAGTTATAGGCATATCTGATTTTTAGAGTTTGTAATTTCAAAAGTACAGAAATCCCCTTGTTTCATTCATCTATAACAGTCTCCACTGCTTATCCAATGGCTCTGATTAGCCATACTTGCGTCTTTTGTTCACCCTTGGAATCTGGGTAGCTGGGAGAATGGAATACACCAGTAAACTTTCGCTACTTCTGAGGCAGGGGAGGTGGACCATTTGATTGATAGCTGCACTTAAATTGCACAAAATGTGTGTGTAAATTTTGTGTGTGTGTGTGTGTCTGTGTGAGTGAGAGAAAGAGAGAAAGGCAGAGAAAGATAGGGGAAGGATGATTTCCCTAAATAAACTGACACAGGGCAAGCAAAAGAACATCATTTTGTGTCAAGCCAAAATGATATATAATTATATTAGTTATATTCCCCATAACACTGGCACCATAGATGATTTTTGATAACTTAGGACTGTCCATAAACTCCATTTTTAGGACCATTTTGCTGACCTGAAAGGATACATTTAAATGTACCTTCAATTTATTACCTAAGAGAAAATGAAGTTTTTAGGACAACTGATAAAGGAGGTAACTGCTACATTTTTATTTGAACAATGCATTATTTTAGAATGTATTTATTCATTCACTTATATTTATACATTAATGAAATTCATTGCATATGTATTCATATCAGGGCCATTGAAAGGTTTTGTTGATTTTTATAATGGTTTCAAACTCTTGGAATAATGTGATTTGAATGAGTTTTCTTTTTGAGAATCACATTGTGCTACACACTCAAATTCTACTTAAAAAGAACTGAAAAATTTTGGGTGGGGAATAATACATTTACATGGTTCAAAAATCAAAAATATAAAGAGGTCTATAGCAGACAGTCTTTTTCCTACTTCTGCTCCAATCTGCCTCATTCCACTTTCTCCCATGTGGAGACACTTATACTGTGTTCTTGAGAATCCTTCAATACTTTCTCTAAGCAAATAAAAGTGTGTTTATGAGCAAATGGAAATGTGCAGGTGAGCAGCAGTGTTCTGCACCTCACAGTCTTCACTTATCACTGTATCTTGAGGCTCTTCCCATATCAGTGTATTGAGTGCTTTCTTATTCATTTTTCTTTTCTTTTTTTTTTTCTTTATTTTATTTCTTACATTTTTTTATTTCCATAGGTTTTTGGGAAACAGGTGGATTTTGGTTACACAAGTAAGTTCTTTAGTGGAGATTTGTGAGATTTTGGTGTACACATCACCAGAGCATTATACACTGAACCTAATTTGTAGTCTTTTATCCCTATGCTCTTCCTACTATTTCCCCCAAAATCCTTAAAGTCCCTTGTATCATTCTCATGTCTTTGCATCCTTATAGCTTAGCTCCCACTTATGAGTGAGAACATTTGAAATTTGGTTTTCCATTCCTGAGTTACTTCACTTAGAACAATAGTCTCCAATCCCATCCAGGTTGCCATGGATGCCATTAATTCATTCCTTTTTATGGCTGAGTAGTATTCCATTACATATATATCTCAGTATAAATATAACAGTATATATGTAACAGTATATATAACAGTCTATCTACTCATTGATTGATGGACATTTGGGCTGGTCCCACATTTTTGCAATTGTGAATTGTGCTTCTATAAATAAACATATGCAAATATCTTTTTCATATAATGAAATAAACAGACAACTGTGGGTTGTCTGTTTATTCTGCTTACTGTTCCTTTTGCTATGTGAAAGCTCTTAGGTTAATTAAGTCCCACCTATTTATCTTTGTTTTTATTGTATTTGCTTTTGGGTTTTTGGTCATGAAATCCTTGCCTAAGCCAATGTCTAGAAGGGTTTTTCTAATGTTATATTCTAGAATTTTTATAATTTTGGGTCTTAGATTTAAGTCCCTGATCCATCTTGAGTAGAATTTCGTATAAGGTGAGAGAGGAGGATCTAGTTTCATTCTTCTACATGTGGCTTGCCTATTATCTCAGCACTATTTGTTGAATAGGATGTCCTTTCCTCACTTTATGTTTTTGTTTGGTTTGTGGAAGATCAGTTGGCTATAAGTATTGGGTTTATCTCTGGGTTTTCTATTCTGTCCCGTTGGTCTATGTGCCTATTTTTATAACAGTACCTTGTTGTTTTGGTGACTATGGCCTTATAGTATAGTTTGATATTGGGTAATGTGATGCTTCCAGATTTTTTATTTTTGCTTAGTCTTGCTTTGTCTATGTGGGCTCTTTTTTGGTCTCGTATGATTTTTCTAATTCCGTGAAGAATGATGGTGCTATTTTGATGGGAACTGCATTGAATTTGTAGATTGCTTTTGGCATTATGATCATTTTCACAGCATTGATTCTTCTCATCCCTGAGCATGGGATGTGTTTCCATTTGTTTGTGTGATCTATGATTTCTTTCAGCAATCTTTTGTAGTTTTCATTGTTGAAGTCTTTCACCTCCTTGGTTAGGCATATTCCTAAGAATTTTATATTTTCCAGCTACTGTAAAAGGGGCTGAGTTTTTTATTTGATTCTCAGCTTGGTCATTGTTGGTATATAGCAAATCTGCTAATTTGTGTACATTAATTTTGTACCCTGAAACTTTGCTGAATTTGTTTATCAGTTCTAGGAGCTTTCTAAAGGAGTCTTTAGGGTTTTCTAAGTATACAGTTGTATCATCAGCAAACAGCAACAGGTTTGACTTCCTTTTTACTGATTTTGATGCCCTTGATATATTTCTCTTGCCTGATTGCTCTGGCTAGAACTTCCAGTACTATGTGGAATAGAAGTGTGAAGAGTGGGCATCCTTGTCTTCTTCCAGTTCTTAGAGGGAATACTTACAGCTTTTCCTTGTTCAACATTATGTTGGCTGTGGGTTTGTCATAGATGACTTTTATTACATTGAGGTATGTCCCTTGTATGCTGACTTTGCTGAGGAGTTTAATCATAAAGGGATATTGAATTTTGTCAAATGCTTTTTCTGTATCTATTGAGTTTATATGAATTTTGTTTTTAATTCTGTTTATGTGGTGCATCATATTTATTGACTTGAATATGTTAAACCATTCCTACATCTCTGTTATGAAACTCACTTGATCATGGTGATTATCTTTTCGATATGCTGTTGGATTCAGTTAGCTAGTATTTTATTATGGATTTTTGTATCTATGTTCATCAGGGATATTGGTCTGTAGATTTTTGTTATGTCCTTCCTTTGTTTTGGTATTAGGGTGATACCAGCTTCATAGAATGATTTAGGGAGGATTCACGTCTTCTCTCTCTTATGGAATAGTGTCAATAGGATCAGTACCAATTCTTCTTCGAATGTGTGGTAGAATTCAGCTGTGAATCTGTCTAGTCCTGGATTTTTTTTCTGTTGGTAATTTTTTTAATTATCATTGTTATTCATCTGTTCAGGGTTTCTAATTCTTCCTGATTTAAGCTAGGAGAGTTATATATTTCTAGGAATTTATCCATCTCCTTTAGGTTTTCTATTTTATGTGGGTATAAAGGTGTTCATAGTAGCCTTGAATGATCTTTTGTATTTCTGTGGTGTTGGTTGTAATATCTGTCATTTTGTTTCCAGTTGAGCTTATTTGGATCTTCTCTCTTTTTGGTTAATCTTGCTAATGGTCTATTAATTTTATTTATCTTTTCAAAGAAGCAGCTTTTTGTTCATTTATTTTGTATTTCTTTTTTGTTTCGATTTCATTTAGTTCTGTTCTGATCTTTATTTCCTTTTCTCTGCTGGGTTTGGTTTGGGTTTGTTCTTGTTTCTCTAGTTCTTTGAAGTGTAAACTTAGATTGTTTTTTTGTGCTCTTTCAGACTTTTTGATGTAGGCATATAAGGGTATGAACTTTCCTCCTAGTACCAAATTTGCTGTACCCAGAGATTTTTATAGGTTGTGTTACTATTATCATTTAGTTAAAAGAATTTTTAAATTTTCATCGATTTCATTGTTGACCCAATGATCATTCAGGAGGAGATTATTTAATTTCCATTGATTTGCATGGTTTTGAAGGTGTTTTTGGAGCTGATTTCCAGTTTTATTCCACTGTGGCCTGAGAGAGTACTTGATATAATGTCAATTTTCTTAAATGATTGAGATTTATTTTGTTACCTATCATACGGTCTATCTTGGAGAAAGTTTCATGCACTGATGAATGGAATATATGTGCTGCAGTTGTTTGGTAGACTGTTCTGTAAATATCTGTTAAGTCCATTTGTTCTAGGGTATAGTTTAAATCCATTGTTTCTTTGTTGACATTCTGTCATGATGACCTGTCTAGTGCTCTCAGTGGAGTATTGAAATCCCCAACTATTATTTTATTGCTGTCTATCTCACTTTTTAGGTCTAGTAGTAACTGTTTTGTAAATTTGGGAGTTCCAGTGTCAGGTGCATATATATTTGGGATTGTGATATTTTCCTGATGGACAAGGCCTTTTATTATTATGTAATGTCCCTCCTTGTCTTTTTTGAAGTGTTGTTGCTTTATAGTTTGTTTTGTCTGATGTAACAATAGCTATTCTTCCTTGCTTTTGGTGTTCATTTGTACGGAATGTCTTTTTCCACCCCTTTAGGTTAAGTTTGTATGAGTCCTGTGTGTCAGGTGAGTCTCCTGAAGGCAGAAGATACTTGGTTGGTGAATTCTTAGCCATTCTGCAATTCTGTATCTTTTAAGTGGAACATTTATGCCATTTACTTTCAACATTAGTATTGAGATATGAGGTACTAATCCATTCATCATGCTATCTGTTGCCTGTATACCTTGGTCTTTTTA